TGAGATATGGCGATGTCAGTTCTTCATTTTTAGTCTATGTGTCAACCAAATATGCCATCTATCCATTCACGTTAAAAGTAATTTCAAAACACCCAATGCACCCGAGTATATACAGGGTGGGCCAAAAAACAATACCGAAGTTTTAAGATGGACGATTCTTATGACATATCTTAAACCATGCCATGTATTATACATCATTTTAAAGAGGCTCTATGCCTCTGGACTTTTTTGTATATTGAGTGTCACCACATATTCACTTACTTACCATAGACAAAGTTCCAAATCCCCCTCTTTCGCGAAATTTTGCGATTGTGCTGGCCAATCTAATTATTTTCGCGGAAATTGATTCAATCTGAAGTTTGAATATACCGGAAAAGTCCTCCTGTTATCTGATTGATCGTTGAATTCTTTTATCATGAACCTGATTGGGTACCTGGTTCAAGGCGCTTGTGTGACTCATTGGGGATCCCCCTCGCTAACCGAGGAATCGATTGTTTTTAAATCTGGAGGTTGGTTGTTCTGTTGATTATTTCAATATTTCGGCAATAATATACCCAAAAGTTATTCTCAAGATATATCCATGGTATGTGAGATATTATAAGAGCAATAAAAATAGGACATCATTGATTGACTGGGGGAGAAACCTATGGTATAGAGCATCTTTAAAGATAAAATATTTCCTAACGATATGGCCCCATTCGAGTGAAAAGTTATTGTTTTCTTGTGGAGTTAGAGGCCAAAATTGTCACCAGGGATGTCATGAGAAACCAAATATCAAAAATGAAAATTCCGGAATTCCCCTTCATATTGCAGTCACAGTTGGACTCAATATGCTTGACTGAATCATTATAAATGTATTTAATATAGTACTTAATTGCAAGGGTAAGTCTTTTTGCTAAGATATTATTCTCATTAGCTTGCCTTCCAAAAACCATGTCTTGAGCATTAAAAAGTAATTATATTTTTACAAAAGAGTTCGACGAAGTAAATCAAATTTTGTATGAGGCGCAATTTGAAAAAAAATGTTTTATTATGTACCTGAACTTAAAAGTATGACTGTTGCAAATGTCTGAATGAATGGAGGTGGTGTGAAAAATATCTGAATAGTTCTAATTATTGTACTTGAATAGAGAAATAAAAATAAAAAATAAAAATAAATTAATAAAAAAATAAAAAATAAATAATAAATGAATTTATTTAAGAGTAATACATAATTGATAGTTAAATATTGGACCTTGGGCCTATTTCACTATATTGCCCGCAGAGATGACGTTATTAGTATTATTACCACCGTTAATGACTGAAACAGCAAGAAAATCTTACGCACTGAACGATATCTAATTTTCCGGGGAAAATTGCCGGTCGTTAAATGCATTCTCGACCGGTCGTTAAATGCATTCTTGACCACCACTATGACGTCACATATTGCTCAGGTCGATATAGTAAAATGAATGCCTTCTTAACTAGCACTAAAACTCCTAGAACTGGCCCGGCAAGGTGGTAATAATACGACATAATGGGAGCTACTCACTTCTTCTGGTCAAATCTCAAATCTAAAGTCTTCAGTTTTCAGCTTCTTAGAACACGTAAGATGATTTAGAAAAAGTTGTCAGTCAGTGTAAACGGTATTTGTTAAGTTTTCGGAAGTTGTAAGAATCTGTTACAAACCAACCGCCACCCATCGACGGGCAATCGCCGACCGCCGTCACAAAAAACGGAGACCATAAGAATATGTCACCACTTTTGGGTGGTGACATAATTAGTAAACGAGATTCCTAGGAGATTCAAACCTCAGGATTTAAAGATATTTGGATGATTTAAGAATATTTTCCTTGTTAGTCAACGCTAAACAAGTAAGGTAGTTCTAACACAGTTGTGGATTTATTGTATTTGTTCCATATACATGTATGATTATATATATTTATACATATATCTTTTGTTGGCTCTTTAGATGTCATAGCATGACATATAGTCTCTGTGCAAAAGAAATCGATTTATCTAAATATACACTACACTAAATTAAACTAAACTACATAACGTCATCACAATACAATACACTACAAAATAACGTGAAAATATACACTCTACACTACCTCATTCGCGCATGCGCGTGATTTTTGTTTTTAGTCCAGGCGACTGTATATCTAATTTTGATTTCCAGATGAGTACAGTTAGGTCATACATATAGTAATACAGCATATATTTCCAAAAAGCCTGTTTGTGAGCTAGATAGCACTGCCTGAAGGGTTTCCATTGCATTTCTAAGCACATGGCAATTAACGAGGCGTATAGCCTTTTTATTTTTTCGTGAAGCCACTCAGTAAAATTACGATTTCTCTGCAACCTGATGTCCAATCAAGATCATTCAAGTACCTATGTGTTCCTGACACGTTTGGGCGTACGGGAATAACAACGTTTTCACGCGAAATTGACGTAATTCATGACTGAAATAGGGAAGACAAAATTTGAGATTCACAGACAAAATTGCTTGGTAAAATTATTTACACTAAAGTGTTCCAGAGACTCTAATCTATTTTGCTAAGGTTTTATTTGAAGAAACATTGCCTTATTAAGCAGGTAGAGGGGGATACAGAACCACTCTTAAAAATTATTACTTGGATTTCCTTATATTGAGACATTGTACTACTCATTTTAAGTCAAAAACTACTTAATAATTTTTAAGTAATTTTTAAGTAATTCATTTATGGTGAATTTACTAATGCAAGGAGAGAAATTGAAATACTTACTGTAGTAATTGTAATACTCATTTACATAATTAAGCAATTAAAAAACTCAAAATGACAATATAAGTTAAACCTAACTAAAATGAAGTAAAACTAAGTATTTAACTTTAAGTAATTTTTATACTTGGGAAATACTTGGGAAATACTCAAGTAATTCATTTTAAGAGTGACACGGAAGCAAATGCTATGTTGAAAATTTTCTATATTTCAGTTTGAACAGGTTATTACATGTCACGTAGGCCAGTGTTTTATATGGGGATTATATGTACTTTACTTGTTTACATGAACGTAAATTATTACATGAAATCTGAAGTCTTTCGGGTTTTATCTGGGTTTGTATTGTCTTATTTGGGCCTTTTGGACTTTGAAACAAACCTTACCTAAATGGATTTGTGTCTCGGGAATATTTCTGTAAATCGTTATTATAAACAATTCTGAAAGAATATCACATATTTTTGTCTTCCCGATTTCGGTCCTGAATTACGTCAATTTTGTGTGCAAACATTGGGTAGATGTTGTCATTTCCATATGCCAAAACCTGTCAGCAACACATAGGTACTTGAATGATCTTGATTGACTGACGATCGGCATTAATATTGCCAATATTACACTGATATTGGTCGTTCATCAGTGTAACAAAAGCGAGGGACTAAATACGTGAATTGTGTCTTTGTTAACATATAAAACCTAAAACCATAGACACATTCTCAAACTAGACTATCTTCTTTAACTTCGAGCCAAATTATTATCCACAACGTGACTCATAAGTAGGTGTAAATCGGGAAATAAAAAAATCTTACCGAAACCTAGTCCCGGAAGTAGTTCCGCCATGATACACTGACGATACGTCTATGTAACTCGGTGGGTAGCAGTGAATAAGGATGGGTATCGATAGAAAACACATCACACGCTCCTTTTGTTCTTGCTATCATATGTTCGGAATGAAATGAAACATCTATCCGAGCCTCATTGGAACAAAATAGCATAAACACAACGCGTTTAGGTCTCTCAATATTTCGTCGCGTGAGAATAACTTTGTACTAACTGCCATTTTCCAAAAAATTGAGATAGACATGGAATTTTACTATTTGAAACACAGACTTTCATCTCAGATACATGCCCCATCTCAATTCCCTCTCATTAAGCTAGAATTCAGTGTGAAATTGTACCATCTCCAGACAAACAGCTTAAAACAGATTGTTATAACTCCAAGTTTTGCAAGTCACATGACCAATTCTTAGAGAGTTGATTGGTTGAAACAGTTGATATCAGATATGACAATTTGAAATTAGAAATCAGCTGTTATTCCGGTGGGAAATTGTATCAACTCCATTTCCATAGTTTTAAAAAAGGATCTTGTAAATTGTTTCAAGGTATGATATTTCATATAAGATATCTCTAGGGTGAGACCAGGTGACATACAAAAAATCAAGTTTCACATAGCAATACTAAGTAAGATACAGACCTCTAAACTTTCAAACCTTGATTTCTCAGTTCCGTAAAAATGTGAGATAGTTCAAAGTTATTCTCATGCGACGATTTATACAAAGGAAAGTTTGGTTGATTTAATAAAGTGTCTTGTTAATGAAATAAAAGGTTTATCTTAATTTTTCTTCTATTTTGTGAGTTTTTGTTTTAATTTTTTGAATACATTTTGTTAAATCAACCAAATTTTAATTTGTATAACTAAGTATAATATTGAGAGGTCTAAGAAAATGTTGTATATGCTATTTTGTTCTAACAGGCTTCGGAACGATATTTTATTTCATTCTCAAGAATTGGTAAAAAGGAACAAAAACAATTGCACTAAAAACAAAAATGTTAACAGAAACAGTTATATGGAATATAAATAAATACTTTTCGCTTTAAATTGTTGTCAATCAGTCAAAATAACATGAAAGACCGTGTTTTTTACAGAATGTTTTCAATAATTGCTTCGAGAGAAAAACATTGTTGAATTCAGTTTACCATATCTATACCAATCCTTTATCCTAGAAGATTGTATAAAACCAATATATAAAATGTAAACTGTCCATCCTGCTTAAATACGGAAGCTGTTGCTATGTAATGTTAACATATCAATCAACACAGTTACCCAGAGTTCATCATAATATCAAAAATGATTTCATTGAAAAGAACTCAAAAATTAAACCGGACTCTGCTAAGTTTCCAATTTTGCGTGATGGTACAGACAGGCTCAGTGAAACATTTCCGACACATTTTGTTGCTTGTATGGGGTTGCATTAGTACGGTCTGCTATTCATTGGAACTATAATCTTGCATTCCATGTTGGTCAGAAATCAGCCAATATGTCTTCATTGTGCCCTTTCCCTAAAATTAACAATTGAACATATATAACCACATACACATTATATTTTAAGATTATACTTCTGACCTTTTTTGCAATTTAAAGAGAATGTATACAATATGTATACGAGATATTATTTCATTCACAGAGCTTACATGTATCGATGTATATCGAGGCTATATAGCCTCGGCCCCTCACAAAACATGTAAATATTTATGATGAATAATATGGAAATAAATAACAATAACCTATAACAAGAACACAAATGTGTACAAAATGTCCCCACCAAGTGGTGATCCCGTGAAATGGTTATCCTGAAAATGAGTAGACAAGACTTTACCAATACAATTTGAGGACGGAAAATCCAAAGTGGCCACCTTAAAATTTACCCAGAATGCCAAAAATTTAGTCAGTTCTAGATTTTCATACTAAGAACCACCCCTGAAAATTTGAAATTGATCCGTCACACAGTTAACCAGAAAACATGTAAACAAGACTTTACAGACAAGATTTCAGGATGGAAAATCCAAAATGGCTGCCTTGACATTTACCCAGAATGTCAAAAAACTAATCTGTTTGTAGATTTTCATACTAAGAATCATCCCTGAAAATATGAAATTGATCTACCAAACGGTTCACCTGAAAACGGGTAGACCAAGACTTTACAGACAAGATTTTAGGACAGAAAATCCAAAATGGCTGCCTTAACATTTACGCAGAATGCAAAAAAAGTAATCAGATGTAGATTTTCATACAAAGAATCATCCCTGAAAATTTGAAATTGATCTATCAAACTGTTCTCCTAAAAACGCGTAGACAAGACTTTACAGGCAAGATTTTAAGACGGAAAATCCAAAATGGCTGCCTTGACATTTACCCAGAATGCAAAAAAACTAATCAGTTCTAGATTTTCATACTAAGAATCATTCCTGAAAATTTGAAATTGATCTACGAAACGGTTCACCTGAAAACGAGTAGACAAGACTTTACAGACAAGATTTTAGGACGGAAAATCCAAAATGGCTGCCTTGACATTTACCCAGAATGCCAAAAAACTAATGAGATCTAGATTTTTATACTAAGAATCATCCCTGAAAATTTGAAATTGATCCACCAAACGGTTCACCTGAAAACGCGCAGACAAGACTTCACAGACAAGATTTTAGGACCGAAAAATCCAAAATGGCCGACAATAAAAAAGTCCTTATGAGTTTTTGCTGATTTCTTTTTACAAAATTATCACATATAACTACTGTTAACAATAAAGTAGGCTTTTACAGCAAAGTACATCTGAAATTATTTATAAAGCTACTAAATAGTTAAAGTATGAAAACTCAAAAACACCATTCAATATGATACAAAGTATTATCGCGCGCTAACTTTTCTTAAGACATTCAAAATGGCTGACATGACTGAGCTAGCAGGTCCAAAACCTAATCAGATCTAGAATGAAGTGAGCTGAACAAGATGTTAAAGTTTTAAAAGCAACTGTGAAGCAGTTTTTCTTAAAGTTTGCAGACAAGGATTTTAGCATTTGACTTCAAAATGGCCGACAGGAAGTAGGTATCGAGTTAATTTTTTTTCATCCACATCTGTATGCACTCATAAGTTATCCCTGAAAATTTGAAGGTGATATCTGTAGCGGTTTTGGAGAAAACTGCCGGACGTACGGACAGACAGACGGACAGACAGACGGACAGACAGACGGACGCGCCTAGGCCGACAATATGGCCCCACACTATGTGGTGGGGACATAAAAATGCATATCGATTCAATGTTTGGGCAAAAAGAACAAAAATGATGCTTCTGACGAGACGTATCATTGTAGAACGTAAGACATCTATATAAAGTTGTAAAGCTTTTCCTAACATATTCTTGGTATAGTCAATCAAAGGGTCCCTCATTTAGCTATGTTCTATCACCAAAATAAAGCCTTTTAATTATAACGATCTAAATATTACACTGGACGGTAAATGTGGATCAAATGTGCTGTTAATTATATCGGAATGACAATTCAGTTTGACATTTGACAGGAAAGAAGTAATGCAACTCGTTCCTGTTGTCATTTTTCAATCCAATACATTTACCATAGTCCGGTTGTCACATTTTACCATGTGTAGTTGTCTCGGTGAATTATTTGAAATTCAGATTCCGTTGTCATTGACGATATTGAAGACTTTATTTTAGGCGATTCAAGACTACATTCGATCAAAATTGGGATATTATCTAATACATAATCACAAGAGCTTAATACATGCACAGAATTAGCGGAAAATATGGTCCTATGAAATGGGAATCAAGTGATTAAAGAGTTGATGCGAGACGTACATCAGCAGGTGTGATATATGGTACAAAACTTTTGATCTCATTAACCTTTAATCTTAATAATATAATTAAATAATAACGACGATTAAAATTCTTACCTTAACTTCGAGAGAACCCCTTGATTCAAAAGTAAATTCATTTCCATGTGCACTCAGCGCCCTCTTTGTTACATCACTTATATGTATTCTAAGAGCTGAAAATGTGATGTAATCCTGTTGATCAAGAATCCTAGTCTATCGAAATATCGTTTGAATAAACCTAGACAATCGTTCAAGTCATTCTGAAGTCATCACAATAAGGCCAATTACATTTAATGTAAACGTCTGAACGTAGAAGGCGTTTGTGATACGTCTTTATGCATGCATAACTAAACGAGAAACGAGGAACGAAACAATAATGAGGATCGCTCAAATGAAATGTGCGTGAAAACAGAAATATCCATGCACTTTTGGAACAAACGACAAGATAATGTTTGGATTGTATGTGTTGTATCATACCTTCTCCATTTGTTTCCATTCTGCTTGCAGTATTGACAGTGTCGCCAAAGAGGCAGTAACGAGGCATCTTAAGTCCAACAACCCCAGCAACACATGGGCCTACAAGTTTATCATACGAAGGATTAATTGATTTTCCAATACACCCATGTAAAGTTATTGGCGAATCATTTACCATTGCCATTTTTGGATGTGCGTGCTCTGTTTCTTTGAACCATTAATTGCGATATTTTATTCACACATCCTAGTTTTCTGCATGAGAAAAATGCAAATTCTGCGCAGAAATTCTGCATGAAAAAGCCAAATTCTGCACCAAATTCTGCATGAAATCTAAAATTCTGCACCAAATTCTGCACGGGGAAAAGTGAAATTTTGCGGTTCAAGTATGTGCAAAAAATGAAATTCTTGCTAAAATCAATAATTTTTTCCAAAAAATTAATAATTCAAAATTTTTGAACTCCACTTATGCTGCTTTCTTCAGCGATAATGGAAAACTGCAGTAATAACACCAGATGCAATTTTAATCAATTAGCGACAAAACTTACCAAATGCTCACTTGTGAACTATCACGAAATTCGAAGTATCACGAAATTCCAGATCAATATGCAGGGAATTCAGATGTCGTTTATTTATATATGACGAAGTAAAACGGAAGAAGAAGCATGATTTATTGCGTTAGAATACAAAAGAATACAATATTAGACATATTATTGCAAAACAATTACGAGGGACAGTCATCGGTTTCAAATTTCGTGATTATGTTAGACGCAGTCTTACCTCTAAGTGCAAAGGCGGAAGTTCGAGAATTTAAAACAGATTTCAGATTTCCTCTTGAAAATCTGACAAAACCCAAGTATCTGACAACAAACGAGCGGAGTCTTTGGGTGTTTAGGTGAGTGACAAATATGGGATGAGATGGTTGACTGGAAAAATCATGTTTTCCGCGAAATTCCGTGCCAAAACAAAAATTCTGCAAAAAAAATGAAAATGCAAATTTCTGCGGTTTTTCTGCGGCGACGCGGAATCACGGAATACTAGGATGAGTGTTTATTGGTGTTTATTGTGATGAATTATTATGATATTCTATATGCCCTCTATTTGTAACCCAGTTGAAACCAGACACAGAGACAGATAATAAGAATAACCATTGAATCAACATAGGTAAGAAAACTCTGATTTCAGATATTTACTAGTGTCTGCTATGCACGCGACTTCATGCATCTCTACTACCCCAGCCGTGCCTTTAAAGGTAGTAGGATCTTTTACCTGAGTGCAGGCCTATTCTTATATTTAGTTTTTCTTTTGGAAGGTGCCTTATCCGAAACGTTAGCAGTGCCCCGAGAATAGACACGGACATGGATGCTATTTCTTTTGCGTGGTTAGAACCGTTACGTATTGGGAGTCCAGACACAACCATATAAGCATCTCCAATGGTCTCCACCTTAAAGTTAAAACATTTGATACCATATTTGTATACCCACAGTACAGCTACTTTTGTGCGGCAGTTTCAGGTGGCCTTTAGTGCTGCTTTTTACTTCGTGAAGCCACTCAGTAAAATTACGATTTTTCTGCACCCTGATGTCCAATCAACATCATTCAAGTATATATGTGTTCCTGACACGTTTGGGCATCCGGTAATGACAACGTCAACCCAATGTTTGCACGTAAAATTGACGTAATTTCTGACTGAAATAGGGGAAAAAAATATGTGATATTCTTTCAGAATTGTTTATAATATCTATTTACAAAAATGTTCCCGAGACACAAATCCATTTAGGTAAGGTTTGTTTAAAAGTCGAAAAGCACCAATAAGACAATATAAACCCAGATAAAACCCGGAAGACTGCAGATTTCATGTAATGATTTACGTTTATGTAAACAAGTAAAGTACATGTATGCCCCTCTACCTGCTTAATAAGGCAATGTGTCTTCAAATAAACCTTAGCCAAGTAGATTAGAGTCTCTGGAACACTTAATTAGTTTTCACAAGCAATTTTGTCTTCCCGATTTCAGTCATGAATTACGTCAATTTTGCGTGCAAACATTGGGTAGACGTTGTCATTACCGGATGTCCAAACGTGTTAGGAATACATAGATACTTGAATGATTTTGAATGGACATCAGGTTGCAAAGAAATCGTAATTTTACTGAGTGACTTCACGCAAAAATAAAAAGACTATACGCCTCGTTAATACATTTTCACTCACTGGATACAAAGTCCTATAGTTCATTAACTTTGCTACTTGGTGGTGTGATTTCGTTTACATTATGTACCTTGTCCATTAACTTATCATTTGGTTGACCAAAAATGTAATCTGTAATTGCAATTTGGGTGGTATTTTACACTTTTGCATAATACATCAACGTTGTTTCATTTGAAATATTCCAATTTATTATTTGCAGAACCACTACTAAAAATAAAGGAGATTCTAGTTTACCCCTGATGTCAACTATATCATATCGATTCAAAGTGTTAATATGTTGAAGATAAACAATAAACATATTGCCCCATTAATCACTTACCTTATATACATCGTGATTCTCTAGAATACTGTCAAAAACTGTGTATAAATCATTCAAAAGTTCCACGATCTGCAAATAAGGACAACTGTAACGTTAAGTCGCAATATGTGTAGGTGATAATTTATTAGTGAGCATAGGTGTAGATCTCCCTGAAATCCTCAATGTCGGGGAGGAAACTAAATAAATCTAATTGGGACTTCAGTCTTTTTAGATTCTCCCAAGTGTGTCTGTCGAACTCATGTAATCCACTCGTTGGAACAAAATAGCATATACAACATTTTCCTAGACCTCTCAATATTATAGTTATACAAAGGTTGATTTAACAAAAAGCATGCAAAAACTTAAAACAACCCCCCCCCCCAGAATAGATAAAAATTAAGATAAACCTTTTATTTCATTAACAAGATACTTTTTTAAATCAACCAAACGTTCCTTTGTACAATTACAATATTGAGAGACCTAAACACATTGTGTTCATGTCGTTTTGTTCCAATGAGGTTCGGATAGATGTTTTATTTCATTCCGAACATATGATACCAAGAACAAAAGAAGTGTCTGTTGTTTTTTCTAAAACAATATAGAGAAAAGGATATATATATTTCAAATTATATTTTTACCATCCAAAAGATGATCATTAAATTGACGATGTGTGAAATTTTTAAAATGTTTTGAAGACTGATTTGAGAGAAACGCGAGTTAAAAAAAGTTCACCATCTCAATACCACTCCTTTGCAGGCCTATTATAGAGTAAGTTAAGCTTTTTGCCAAACCATTTTTACATAAGAGAGTTACTCAGCCCCCAGTCTAGTCCATTATGAACAGGCCTGTCCTCTTATATAATGTAACAGAAAAAAGAATACTAAGCCAATTACACATCAATTGCCACACAGGAAGATAACTTGGCACAGCGCTCCTCTCATGACAGTTACATAATGATCTAGATATATACCATTTGATGGACGACTAATTGGGCTTTTTACTGCAACCTTTTTTAGATGCTCAGGATTCTACCTATCTACACCCTTTTTAGATGTCTAAAAGACAATGATTCCATTTCAGGAATATTATTCAGAAAATCAATATTGTATCAGAGTACCAAAGACAAAATTATCTCATTTTAATACAATACCTGAAGAGGGGTGCTATTTGAAGATAAGCTTGTAAATCCAATTATGTCTGAGAAATATATAGTCACATTATCAAACGATTCTGGGTCCACTGCTAGCCCATTCATCAGTCTCTCTGCGATTGCTCTAATAAAGAATATTATAACAAATAAACAAGGCATTAACATGACAAAATGTCACCACCAAGTTGCTCACAATATTATGAGTTCAGTCTAAAGTCAGATTTGAATTTCTAGGAAATTGAATTCAGTCTAAACAGTATCTATTTAGATATTGGAAGTTGTAAGAATTTGTTACAGACGCCAACCGCCAACCCCTAACCACCAACCGCCGTTAGAAAAAACCAAGATCATATAATATGTCACCACTTTTTGATGGTGACATGAAAATAGTATTCACAAACACGCCATCCTCATAATCAACTGTTAAGTGATTGTAGTAACATGCAGTATTACGATTACCGTATATGTTAACTCTCTAACGTAAATTTCAAACATTCCGGCAGATTCATATTTTGATTAAAATAAAAAAGAAAATGGCTACTTAGCAAATTGCGTTATGAGACACACGTAATGTTCTCATTTTTGCTGAGATTTAATTTGAATATGCAATTCAATCCAACTCACTTTGGTAAAATTTGATGCAATAATTCCTCAGATTTTTTCTTTTCTACAATCAGTTGACTGGTTCTGTCTTCCACAATATGTTCCAAATTGTTTGCATACACTTCCATTCTTTTTAAAAGATTGTCCATTATATTCCCCGTACCTCTGGAAAAGTCAAGAGAATATAGAAACTCCACATAGCAGTTATATCGGATGGGCCGTAATTTGATGCTACGTTCCTCCATTATCCTTTCAAACCCTTTCAAACTGTTGACATTTCAAAAGCATGATGTTGTCAATGTACTGACCGATTTTCAAGGACATAGCTTGAGTAATCTGTACACAGGATTAAAATGAAAACATATTCTCAAAAACGAAATCCGGTGATTCACACTGCCTGTCTACTGGAGAAAATTTATTCTAAGGAGACTAATTTAGTTAAGTACTCAAACATGATCAGTTCATGGAAATAAACTCGGAGACATCATTTTGAAATGTCCAGAACATGCGTTTTTGACTTTTATCGATTTTAGTCCCTTGAAAAGAAATCTTTATCTGAAATTTGAACATGAGAGGGTGTCAGAATTAACAAGTATCAAAGTACAGCCCTTTGTTTTATGCTCAGCCGATATATTATTAGAAAAGTGTGTTTGTGTTGAAATTAAAGAATTACAAAACAGTGGTATCTAAGTTACAATACTGTTGTAATCAGTATACATTTCATGTCTTGACTTACTTTGATGACTTTCTAAACATCATATTTATAGATTTAAAATCGGGTCTTTCATCTGGATTCTCAAGCCAGCATTTTTGGAGTAAATCTTTCACATCGTGTGGACATGTGTGGTCGACTTTTGGTCTCAGCACTGGATTTGCTGCTTTAATCTGTCCAATAATATCTGCAATGGACAATATCAAATGGAGATTTAAAGTATACACTCCCTCTATATACGTATGGGAATCAATGAACGTGTTCCTGGAAACTTGAAAAGAAATACGTGAACCTTTTTCATTTAAATGGGCATGTACATGTATAAGTAAAAGCACTGTAATTTCTTTTTTCTCAAAACGTTAGTTTTAAAACCCATTGCACAGTAATTGGGTCGGACGGAGAGAATGGTATGCACCTTTAACGTCAAGTGTGTCGCGTACTTCACCATATGGCATTTGCCTGGTTATGATTTCCTGGAGTATTATGGCAAAACTGAATACATCCCCCTGCTGTGTCGCTCTAGTATCGCTGCCTCTCAGGATCTCGGGAGCAATCCACAAAGCTGCTTAGCAACAGAAATAATTAGATATAAATCAGAATATGCATAACAGGCCCATGGCCAAGCGGGAAGTGGTGGAGCGGAAGCTCCCCCCCCCCCCGGCTAGAAATACTTTCAAAATCATGTACCGTAATTATTTTGGAACTTTTCCTCATTTTTGCTATTTAAACCGATACCACCCGCACTCACTTCTGATTCACAAAATGAAATCCTATGGAATAAATGGTAAAACAGCTGACTTATGTAATTCTTACTTGAGAAACAAAAAACTTTGCCTATCAATCTATGATCAAAAGTCAAAACTCTCAAATGACGATTTTATAAACTCTAATGTTCCTCGGGGATCATTAATAGGCCCCTTTTATGTTTTTAATCTATATAAATTATCTTCCTGACAATCTAGATTCTGAAACCTGTATTTACGCTGGCGATACGTCCTTATATTCTGTTTTTACCCATCAAATGACCAAATTAGGCAAATCCAAAATGATCTCAATACAATTAGCTTCTGGTCAAAGAAATAGTTTATAAAGTTTAAACCTTCCAAAAGTGAACAAGTGGTATTTCATTCAAACTGGATTAAAAATCTTCAAAATCATCGCTTTATTTTGGCGTGGTAGTTATTCCATGCAAAACCTCCGATTAACATCTGGGATTTATCCTTGATGAAGATTTTATCTAGGAAGATCACATCAATCATCTCTCACAAAAAGCTCAAAAATTGCTCAATCCACTAAAGGGCATTAAACCATAAAATTTTATGGATTCCATTATCAAAAGTTATGAGCATTGCATGACGACGCATATATTTTTTTTTACTTTTTTAACTAAAATGAAATGGTATATGGGGGTTTTGAAAGTAAACCATGCATGAGAGAAACAAAGGGTTTGTTTTTCGATCCAGTTCACGATATTTTGATATCATATTATTTTATCACCTGAATTATCCTCTTTATGTTCCAGATGTTTCACAGATGTGTCATCATAAAGCATTCGCAAACCAAAGTCAGTTATCTTCACTGTGAAACGCCCTGTCACTACACAGTTGGACGATTTCAGTTTCCCGTGGCATTTCACTGGTGACGTATGTATGTAAAACATCCCCTACATTACATATATACATTATATATTCATAGTTCATCCATATAAATATATACAGATAAAATGAGGAAGTGACATTAGTTCCATGTAGGTGATTGTAGATTGTAGATCTAAATACCATTTTATTAAAAGAACACACCAATATTGTATTTGAAATCAAATGGGAACACGAACGGAACTTTGCCTTGGGTTCTGGAATTTCATATCCATGTTTTCTTTGCATTTCTAGTAATTTTTGCTTTTGATAGATATTTAGTTTCCACATTACTTACATTTACAATATCCTGTATTAAAGATCTCTTAAATGACCAATCCAAGTTGATATCTGTATTTGCAAGTACATCCTGAACAAAGAAAAACAATTTAATGGTACAAAACTTCATGTTCTACACAAACAAGCATGATCTTATCATGACAAAATATGATCACCTGATTTTGCTATCTTATTACAATATGTTTCACCTTGTCATGGGCTTCAACTGCAGGACGCTGAAATTGAAATGTGGTGATGACGTTGGATGAAAGCGTTGTCTTTGATTAATTAATAATTGCCCTTGACACAATGCTTAGACAAGGGATCGCTATTAATGTCTAAATGGACACAGCCAAGGAAAAATTGCTTAAATAAAAAAAAAATAAAAAAAGGGATCGAAAATAGTTATACCTCTAAACTGCCCTTCTCACAGAATTCCATTAAGACGAACAATTTAGGTGGTGCAACAGTGGCTCCAATAAACCGGGCTATGTTCTCATGCTGAAGCTCTCGTCGCTGAAACAAGAACAATATCATGTAATCTAATAAATCGTGTTATCTTATACAATATAGGTAATACTATTAAGTTTCATACATCATAAATAAACATAAAGTGATGACGAAAAATAATTGATAAGTCGTATATTTGGCATATTGTCTTGAATTTTAACATTAAATGTCCCAAATTCTTCCAAACTGCGGAAAACTATACACTGTAAATCATTTTACCAAAATGAGTGTCTCTTGCTCACATTTCATGGGCGTAGCGAACCCCCCCCCCCCCCCCCCCATAAACTAATAAAAATAGAACCATTAGATAGAAGAAGCTATAAAATGCTTTTTATTTGAAGCTTCTAACTCACTTTTGAAGGAGGTTACATCGTTTTTGTAAAATGCAAAACAAATCTTTAAAATAAAATCTTCTTTTTGGCTCGCGTATGCCACGATCGCACTGAAAACCTAAAATGTTTTGGGCGATCTCGCGTCAGGCTTGTTTATTGTTGTTAGCTTTTATTGGTAAGTACTCAGAATTAGCAAATAATTCACGTGCGCAAAATATTCAAATAATCTGATTGTTTTTTACTGAAGTGCACATGCGCACGATGTGAGCCATGTTTTTTTCTAGTGATTTCGTTTCGTGTCCTGGAGTTTGTGTTTCAGAGTAACTTCCGCAAAAATGGCGGACCGAGAATTAACAGGTAAAATCATTTCGAAATTTAAAAGACCTTTTCGCCCATAATACCAAATCCTTTGCTTTTTTGTGCATTCTATCCATCTGATGAGACATAGTTGACAGTTATGTATCCAACCCTTTCCACGACAACATTTCTTAACAATATTGTTTTTATTATATTGTATTTTTCCAAAAATTTAAGTGAGCAATACCTTATTGTTACGTGTTTCGTACATCATGGACACTGGATAACATACCCCAAAGTCCCGAATGTTGCAGTCCTTACTGACGCAATACAAACATGTAAGTCATCACATAATTAACATGAACCACTGGATGAACAAGGTATCTGATGTAAATGACTATATGCAGAAAACATCGTGTGCTTTTCCCACTCAAATCAATTTTCAAGGTCAACACTCAAATTGTCATAATATAGTTTACCCTGTTTATATGTAGAAGCGTCTCTCGGTTTAATTGCAAGCGTTTGACAGCTATCGTCTTGACGGCGCATCTATGTCCCTAAAATTTTCGGTTGACGTATAAAGATTTTGTTTTTTGCAAACATGTATTGTGTTTTCTAAATTCAGCTATATATTAATTGTATTTGAGTTCTTGGAATGTTTACTATTATTTTAAAGAAGGATTGCGGTGCGAGTTTTCTTTAATCCACAAACTTTGGCAACTGTAACAAAAATCAATTTTCGGTCAAAATATAGACAGAAGTAAAATGGGAGATTATACAGAATATTCTACCTTGCCTTGAATATACTTACCCGGTAGTTCGCTACTGGTATGAAGATCTGATGAACTCCTACTACCATGGAATTCGTGCTTTTTGTATTTATTGAATTAGTACTTTGAAGCTACAAAGCAGTCATGTATTGTTGTTTTATATTTGATACATAGAGTATAAACATATGGACTATACAAACATTTAACATAAATTGTAACGGAAACCTTGAAATCTTCTACCAAACCCGTAAAAACTACAAAATGAACGGAGGAATGTATGTTTGCAAGAAAATTGAATAAATCTTCATTGAGTAGTTGTATCGCTACATGAGTACGACCATGGTATGAGTAGATATATAAGACCTTGTATGATTTTTTGAACTGCTAAACTCCTAAGGTGAGAGCTCTGTCGAGAATGGCGCAACCAAATCCCCCTCCCCGTGAGCTATAGTTTCACCTTCACAATATGCAAAACATTTTTGTGTTATTGTATATTAAAGTATTACCAATCATATACTAGAATCCATACTCTACTGTTGTTAAATTATTTGGATTGCATTCCGATGGTTACTGAACAAGATACGTACTAAACTTTGTTTACTTAAGCCCACTCCTTTTAGAGTATATACTATCTCATCGGGAGTTACAATCCAAGATGTGTCACGTATAGATGCCTCTTGTTTAAACTTTCTGAAAAAATAATTACAGAAAAAACAAATCTTCTTGAAGAAATAATTTCACTAAAACTTGTTGGCCGAAACGGCTCCTCGTAGACAGGCAATCCTTTGAGAAAACTGTTCAACGTAGTTGCGGTTCCATCTATTAATACTTTTATAATCATTTTATAAGCATTGCAAATAATATAATGCTTAATTACAGGGCGTTTACTTTAATGTTTACGAGTATAGTTTACTTGCAATGCCATTTCATTAAATTAAACAACTATATCTCAATGTCTAATTTATGTGCCTATCATATTTGTAAATTATTGTAAAGTACTTAGTACTCGGTATTTTATTCTCGAGGTATCACAAGGGACATGATTCAGAATATAAATGTACTCTACAATATCATTTCATAACTAGTATACAGGGTTTTTCATATGTATGCATGCATCGCCCCCCCCCCCCCATAAACTCATACATGTAGCATACTAGCTAGCATTACCAAATTACCCATCATGTTAAACAGGGCGTCAACAAAAAAGTATACCCAACTTCAAAACCAAATTACTAGAATCCTGAGCAATTTTTTAAAAATTCAAAGGTAAGAGCAAAAAGCCTAAGTTGTCTTCCATCAAATGGCACCTAGATCATTATGTAATTGTTATGTATATATGAGCAATCATGACTGTTATGAAAGGTGGTAAAAATAGCGCTGTGCCAAGTTATCTTTCTGTGTGGCAACCGATGTGTAATTAGCTTATTTTTCTTTTTCTGTTACGTTATGTTAGAGGACAGGCCTTTCACAATGGATTGGACTGGGGGCTGAGTAACTTTCTTTTGTAAAAAGGTTTGGAAAAAAGCTTAACTTACTCTAAAATAGGCCTCAAAACATTCACTGTGTCAATCCTACCTGAAAGCTAACTTGGCACAGTGCTGATTTTTCCACATTTCATAAAAGTCATGATTGCTCAGTTATCCATAACAGTTATATAATGATCTAGGTACCATTGGATGGAGGACAAACTAGGCCTTTTACTACTGCCTTCGTATTTTTTAAAACATTGTTCAGAATTCTAGTATTCTGGTTCTGAAGTTGGGTATACCTTTTTGTGGACGCCCTGTATATCATTTTGTTCCTAATTGAAGGTTACATAAGATCAGTTATGCACAAAGATATATAGATAGGATTCGTGCAGGCACCCTGGTGCGACCCTTATCACCAAAAAGGGTAGCTGACAAAGTGAACAGATGGAGTCCAAAGATGACCAGAAATTGCCCTCCAAATGACCATGTACCCGCATACTTTGATAAATCGACTTTTTTCAAAGACATACCTGGATTCTGAAACTTTGCAATCGTATGTAACTTTCCATTATAAACAAAACATTATATAACATGATAGGGTGGCAATACTACATGTATGAGTTTATGGGGAAGGGGTGCATACACATGAAACACCCTGTAGACAGTAAAGATCAGGTATGGTAAATGTAAATTATTTAAGATAGTTATGTATTTGACCATGACTACATTAAATAAAACATTTCTATCTAAATAATGCTTTTTTTCAAGTAAAGATATCCATAAAGTGAAAACATCAAAGCATTGCTTCAGACTCTATTTTAATATTACAATACAAATTTTTGGGCTTGTTTTCAAAAAGAGGACATTTTCTCATTTTATGTACCCTGTCAAACGTTTCCTCTGAACTGTGTCATGAACTTTTGAAATATATATATAAAGGGTAGGCCAAAAAACGTCACTCTTTTTTTTCAAAATGCTATAACTTTTTTAATTTTTGATATTAAATCATAATTTGCATACCAAATGAAACTTGAGGTTGTTATCTAGCCATGGATCATAAATTATATACTTTTACTTGAATAAAATATGTCACTAGCGTCTCACTTAAACATGTGGTGTGCCATGAGAAATAAGCATAATTTGCAAAACGTTCCTGAACTGATACGGCCTGATGATCGCCAAGCTAATAGCCCTGGTGCAAACCCCAGTGAGTATAGGGTATGGGAAGGTCTCCGGGAGATTGTTTGAAGGCACCCCATCTAGAAAATTGCTCACCTAAAGCTGGCAATTAAGACGGGTTGAAAAAACTCAGCTAACATTTCATTGATACTGCAATATCAGCAAGGCGACTTAAACTAAAATATATCATTAATTAGGGTGGCGGACAAATTGAACTCCCCTTTTAGATCAAATATAATCCAAGTTGAAGGACTTGTTACATTATATTATTACTAAGAACCCTTGGCACTATATAACGGCAAAATTTGGGGTATATAGGTTGGAAAATAAAAAGGTTGTAGTGTCTTGAAAAAAAAAAGTGGCGTTTTTTTGGCCCACCCTGTATATATATTAAAGGGGAAGTTAAAAACAATGATCACATGATTTTCCAGAGGGGAAAAACTCTTGCTTTTCAATGTTTGACCGTCATTTTGAAAAAAGAGTTGAGGTGTAGTCCTTATCCATTTTTGGACAGACAAATTAATAATTTTTCATCATTCTTGGTACCTTAATTTGAGAAAATGATTATTTTTTAGAAATGTCACATTTATGCTGAGATAAACTAAGAACTAGAAATGCCCATGGTCATATATATGACTGTCCAAAATTACTTGCCATATCATACCTGGTCCTTTGTGCAGTGTGAATGTTTTAAATTGGAATCACTTGAAAAACTGACACCTTCCATTTGTAATTACCATGGACATTCTGTTCATATGCATTCATACTCTTAAGTTGTAATCGTAATTCATGATTGATAATATAACTTTTGAAAAGATTACACAGGAACATTACAGAGTACAACAGCAATAAGAACACAGAGCTCGAACGTCCCATCCAATGATGGTCTAACATACAGAAAAACATTATATAAGTTTTAATTTTATAAGTTTATTTACCTGTATATCATGAAGCTCAATGTACCAACTAAGAGTAGAGCAATTAAAATTGTAATCACTATGATGAATACTGTTATGATAGGATCTGGAATAAAATAAATTGTTTCAATCTCTGGAGCCTTATCAGGCTCGACCCCACGACCTCTAAACTATGAGTAGCCACACACAACCAAGGTCTAGCACCCTGGACCACTTAGCCAACCGCAACACTTGCTTGATAGGTGAAGCAAAAATTGGTGAGGATTGCAAATGGAGTTGAATACAATGACATGTGAATCTACTTAATCGGCCGGGCGCCGTAGTGAAAATCGGAGCAAATGTGACCAAGGCATTACATTTGCTGCGATTCATCGGCCGGCGCCCGGCCGATTGAGTAATTTGTTCACAATTGAATACATTCCTGAACAAAATACTCAATCGGCCGGGCGCCGTAGTGAAAATCGGAGCAAATGTGACCAAGGATTTGCCAAATAAAAAGACAGAAGTCTTTATACAGTGACCTCAACCTGTTTACCCTTGAGTGTTTTGAGTGTTTTTGCAAATATGCCCCTCTTCCTCATCTGCTTTCTTTGTAACTATATGTGATCTACCTTATACAATACAATATAAAAGCTACCTGTAAGTCGACGGGGCATTTCATTTGCATAGCCAATGAATTGGGATTAAAAAGCATACCTTTCTCTTGACAATCCGGGGAATCATTTGTAAAGCCACATTCTGTTTTGTAGACGTTTTGTGAGCCCGGGGGTCCTTTATCATTGGGCCAGTGAATAGAGACCCCTTGTTTTGGATTATAGCCGGGTCGGTCACCCCAATAATGCGCAACTGGCTGTAAAAATGAAAGTCGAATAACTTCAAGTGAGTGGCGCCTAGGTCGAAGCGTAAGCTAGTATTTCAAATAATTACCTGTGAAAATCGGCTATTGCAGTTATATTATACAAAACTATCACAAGCATATATCTTATAGACGTCACAATTATACAATGGACCTCTGTTTATACGGATACGAAAGTAGTAGCAAATACGGAAAAACAAGATGCTCGGTTTAAATATGTTCGAGAACACTAACATACATCGACTTCACCTGCTTTAATGTGTGCTGGTTCGATCATCTTTCAATTAGTGACACAAGTAACATATAGGATGTATCATTTTATGATAAATAGTTATGCATAAGTTGAGTTACAGTGACCAAAAGATCACTGTAATATTTTGTTACGTACATAATAAATAGTTGCATGAAACAATTAAATATAACTCTAGTGTAAAGAAATACAACAGAAGTGTTCATTGGATAGGGTATCAAGCCTGTCAATGTTTGAATTTTGTTCCTCAAGTACAATAGAGGCAGTGGAAACACGTAGAGTATTCATTGTGGAATATGCCATATACCGCAGGTGAGTATGACATATTCATCTGTATCACAAATACCGCATAACCATGAATGTATGCAATATTCTGCATATAATTTCTCACCTGCCAATACCCTTATCACGTTCCCAGTACTTTGCGAAAACATTCCTTGAGATTTATTGACAGCCACCCATTAAAGTGCATCTAAATGTGGGGTTCACCAACGAAATAATTTGTTTTTGACCCAAAAATTCATTGTAAACCCCATATTGTTGAAAAACTAGCTAGAGCCTTGGGTGTCAATTTGAAACAATTCAACGTTTTCCCGATGTCTTAGATACGTGGTGAGCCTGTTGGCAGGAGGAAGTATTGCAAATACGTTGAGAGACGACAAAATAAATATGCACTCCCAAATTTTGGAATAGAGATGTCGATTTCTGTAAAGTAACTCCTGTGCACTCCATGACAATACTCTTCGCGTTTTCATCCCCTTTGGAATTTTATGAAAAATTAATGATCTATTTTTAAATCACCAAACATAAGAGGGTTTGATAAGTGATCCAGAACTTCTGGCTGCCAAACTTATGGAGGGCAGTGTATATTTAGCAGTTATGTCCTTATCATTGAATATATGCCTAAGGTCTGTCACCAATATAGCCCGAGCTTGCGAGGGTTATATTACGACAGACCGAAGGCATATATTCAATGATACGGACATAACTGTTGTATTACATACTTTTATATCATGGCTACGTTATATCAATGACGCCACGTGTCTGTGTGCGAGTGAAAGTAGGAAGAAATGAATTATGACGTCCCGATGACGTCATAAGATTGTAATGGTAAAAGGTTTGGCGGCTATACAGGAATATATAGCCGACCTTCAGCTCCATTGACTTCAATACAAATGCTTCGCCCCACTCTCGACAATATTTTTGACCATTGAAAAATCACAGAAGATAGTCCTAGGAAAGTATAAAACAATCGAAAAATGTAAACCACAAACCATTAATAAAGTGGAACATCAAAGTGCGCGATGATTGACAGATACGAAAATACCCCGTACAGAACAACTTAAAATTAAATTTTTTGGGCCGCTTTGCCCCATGTTCCCTTACTTCAATACAAATGCTTCGCTGGGTATGTAATACTGATTTTATAAAGAGTGTGAGCTTCCCTATTGGATACCCTGTTTACGTTCAACATTTTTCTACATTTATATTTGGTGAGAAATGTCGTGGACTCACATGAAAATCGCCAGTGTCTGGATGCATATCGAGGATTGAATAACTTGTGTCACGATCTCCATTTTCATCTATGATCACCTCGCCGGTAACACCTAAATACGAAATTTACCAGGAATTTTTAATATGATATTTATATTCTCTATGCATACTTAGTACTACAAAAACAGGCTTCTTAGTTACATTTTATAGAATTCAATGAGACAACCAATATACCACCAACCCCTGTGTACGGTCTTTTGATGCACAAATGATAAATGGATCGGAATCGGTTAATAATAAATGAAAATATGTCTAAAATTGGTTCTTATAACATACCTATGATGATGTATAGTGCAAAGTGTACACAAGACAGCGGGCCAATATAAGTTTCGAAAAGCCCGCGCCCGCTAACTTTCTGATTGGTCAAGGCGCTGACGTCATAACCAATCAATCGAAGATAAAACTGCGCGAGCAATTTTTCTAAACTCATTTCAATCATTTTCAAACCATTTATTTGTCAATTCTTTAAGAAAATGGTACTCTCTGACCAGTCTACATCATCATAGGCATGTTATAAATCGTTTATGTCACTATCGTGGCACATGTGCCCTCGGTTCTCAGAGATCAATGTCCCTCCCAAGGTCGGGCCATATATCACTGAGACCTCGGGCATATATGCCACGATAGTGACATAACCTCTAAATATTGTATTGTGTTGATATGGTTTAACTTGTGGATGAGTACCTTTAAAGGTCCTATTCCACATTCTCCTTGACATGTTCCATCCATCACGAATATCTCCCCCGACATCAAGCGTTTCGTTCAGTGCCATGCCGTATAGCAAAATACCATCATAGAAAGAACCGATGAAAAAATTTACCTAAAAATGATTCGATTAAAAATTCTTTATATCCAAAATCTCCAGAAATAATTTTTCTTGGTATAAACAGTTGGTATTTCGTTCAATGCTATAACATAAGAACAAATTCAAAATAGAAATGTCTGCTACAATAGGCTGAAAACACCCAGCTCCGTTACGAAAATTTTGAATACCTGTTCGTCTTCAAAGTCAAAGTTGTAATCTCTCAGGGACCTTGATTTGATTTCTTCTGAGAACGTTTGGAATTCAACGCCTTGGGATTCCATTAGTGCCACTCGTAATAGAGATTCGTAAGCTTGTTTAGCAATGCTGTCATCCGTATCATTCCTAAATAGATGATCGGAGTTCAAAATCAGAATGTTCATATTGTTTGTACCAAGTGGTTGACTGTGGCAATGCACAAATTAATTATATATAAAAAACAAAACTCTATTCTTCAATGCTATGAAATGTTAAAAGTCTCTCATAAGCCGGTGCCGGCTGGGCTGTTTGTTTTATCATTACTCATTTAATTGTATTTATTGTATGTGATATATTTTACAGCGTTAAACTCTATTAGATATTTAACTAACTCACTATTATTGTTCCCATACATGCATCTTTAAAACTGGTCACGAAAAAGCATCAGATTTTTCTAGTTTTACGAAAATATAACCTTTTGCAAATTAATAGTTTAGTTCAGTTCACCCTTTTGATTAGAAAAGGTTTTAGCGCCTCCTGAAGATTGCTAGGTTTACAACTGTGTTACGCTAATCAAAGATTGATTTTTATTTCGTTGAGTTTTTTAATAGGACCTACAGTATCTATCGTTGCTGGAAACCTGAAAGCTTACCTTTTCCAGTCATGATCGCCCCAATATTCACTCTTAAACAGTTCGACATCCATGAATACGTAGTCCCCAGAGGTATACCCAATTGTGTAAGCAGCAATCATAAGTCGCCTAATGGCGTCACCTGGAGCACTTAGGATTATGACTAAAATGGAAAATACACATGTTTAATACACGTCAACCACGATGCATTACGCATTTGCTATTTTGTTATTTTATTAGACACACAGTCATGATTGGTTGACAATTTATATTGGTGTAGTGGATTAACATATGTATACTTTAACCTCTTGAATACCCAGAATGACGGATATATCTGTCACAAATAAAATCCATTTGGAACCCAGAGCGACAGATATATCTGTCACAGAATTTTTCACTAAAACTTTGGCATTTTTTATCCAATCTTCACAACTAATGTTTTAGAATGTATGTAATGGGACTATGTTTACTATTCTTATAAAATCAAATATCAAACAAAGTGTTTTTAGATGTAAACCAAAAAACTAGCAGAAAATGAAAAATGCTCTGGTTTCAAACCCTTTTTAGAGGCTGGTATTCAAGAGGTTAAATAAATAATTCAAGATGCCATATTCAACTTTATTCAACGTTAAATTAAATCGACAATGAAGAAAATGATCAACCTAAATCAATATAGTGTTGTTGTTTGGTAGATACTATTATTCGCCTAGTCGTTGATATAATCAATGGTATCGATGTAATTGAAAATTAAATGACAAAATGTCCCAGAACCGCCATTTAGCGACAAAAGAAAAATATCATCACCTCTGGCCGGGGTTAATGTCTATAAAATACGATAGAACTTTGTTTCCTGGGAACTTATAAAACAAGGAAAATACAAGAACACAAATGTGTACAATATGTCCCCACCTATGGGTGATCCCGTCAAATGGTTATCCTAAAAATGAGTAGACAAGACTTTACCGACACAATTTGAGGACGGAGAATCCAAAATGGCCACCTTAAAACTTACCAAGAATGCCAAAAATTAGTCAGTTCTAGATTTTCATACTAAGAACCACCCCTGAAAATTTGAAATTGATCCGTCACACAGTTAACCAGAAAACATGTAAACAAGACTTTATAGACAAGATTTAAGGACATAAAATCCAAAATGGCTGCCTTGACATTTATCCAGAATGCCAAAAACAAATCTGTTCTAGATTTTCATACTAAGAATCATCCCTGAAAATTTGAAATTGATCTACCAAACAGTTCACCTGGAAATGTGTAGACAAGACTTTACAGACGAGATTTTAGGACATAAAATCCAAAATGGCTGCCTTGACATTTATCCAGAATGCCAAAAACAAATCTGTTCTAGATTTTCATACTAAGAATCATCCCTGAAAATTTGAAATTGATCTACCAAACGGTTCACCTAAAAACGCGTAGACAAGACTTTACGGGCAAGATTTTAAGACGGAAAATCCAAAATGGCTGCCTTGACATTTATCCAGAATGCCAAAAAACTAGTCTAATCAGATCTAGATTTTCATACTGAGAATCATCCCTGAAAATTTGAAATTGATCTACCAAACAGTTCACCTGAAAATGCGTAGACAAGACTTTACAGACACGATTTTAGGACGGAAAATCCAAAATGGCTGCCTTGACATTTACCGAGAATGCCCAAAAACTAATCAGATCTAGATTCTCATACTAAGAATCATCCCTGAAAATTTGAAATTGATCTACCAAACGGTTCACCTGAAAACGCGTAGACAAGACTTTACAGACAAGATTTTAGGACGGAAAAATCCAAAATGGCCGACAATAAAAAAGTGATTATGAGTTTTTGCTGAAATCTTTTTACAAAATTATCACATATTACTACTGTTAACAATAACATAGGCTTTTACAACAAAGTACACCTGAAATTATTTATAAAGCTACTAAAAAGTTAAAGTATGAAAACTGAAAAACACCATTCAATATGATACAAAGTATTATCGTGCGCTAACTTTCCTTAAAACATTCAAAATGGCTGATATGACTGAGCTAACAGGTCCAAAACCTAATCAGATCTAGAATGAAGTGAGCTAAACAAGATGTTAACGTTTTAAAAGCAACTGTGAAGCCGTTTTTCTTAAAGTTTGCAGACAAGGATTTTAGCATTTGACTTCAAAATGGCCGACAGGAAGTAGGTATCGAGTTAATTTTTTTTCATCCACATCTGTATGCACTCATAAGTTATCCCTGAAAATTTGAAAGTGATATCTGTAGCGGTTTTGGAGAAAACTGCCGGACGTACGGACGGACAGACAGACGGACAGACAGACAGACAGACAGACAGACAGACGGACAGACGGATGCGCCTAGGCCGACAATATGGCCCCACACTATGTGGTGGGGACATAATTAAAAACGTTACCTCTGGAATGCCTGCTAGCCTCTTCAAGCATACTGCTATAATCGGGCTCAGATTGTCCATTGTATTGGATCATGTGTGGCTCAATCCCTCCCTTCTTCAGCCCAACATCTAGTGTTTGACCGATAGTCATAGCATGGGCGTCATCTCTGTCGTATATGATGGATATGTCGGTCCAGTTGAATTGGGAAAATACACTCCCGAAAACCTTACGAAGGCGACACTGGCAATACGCCATCCGTGTAAGAGTGGGGAAGTTAGTTTTGTTCTTGAATATCCCATAATCACCAAGTCCTATGGAGAAAGTGCAAAGGCAAACATTTAAAATATATTCTGGTATACCCTACATGAGATCACCCCCTGCTACCACAAAAATAGATCTTGGAAAATCCTCTATAAAAATGACTTCCCATTTCACCATATCAGGAACAATAGCAAATGTGATTCCTGCGTACCACTAAAAATATTTCTCAAGTATATGCATTATTAAAAAAGTTACTGGCAAATAATATAGGATTTTTTTTGGCCCACCCTGTACATGCATAATTTGAATATAACTGTTTCCATCCATTATACTTTTTCAGGAAACAGACAGGTATTTACAATTCATGATGGAAAGTATGATATTTCAATTTTGGTATTTGCATTTTAGATTTTTGTTTCATTGTTACAATATTTGAATGCTAGCGCAGAAGAAATCCTGTAATTATTGAACATAATCTGTAGTTTCATTGATTGTGTAACAACCCTGGGTTGTTAGTCTTCATGTTTTATGCCCAGCTTTAATTATTACATATTTTTGGAGATGTAATTACTGGTATTTCACATCTACTATATTTTGCATTTGGTGTTCATGAGCAACCCATTTAGTCCATTTGTCACCCCGAAACATCCAATAGTGAACCTGAAATTGTTAAAAGTACGATGTTTTATGGTCGATTTATGATAATAAGGGTTATCTGAAGAGATTTAACTGGGTTGCCGAGAAAGTTTGTTTGGGGAAAAAATTATATAGGCTGATTAGGGAGGGGTGCAATCGCTTAACATGGCGTTGACTTTTGACTTAGCGTTGGGATACCACCATATACCTGGTATGTTACCATGGTAATAGATACAAAAATTTTCCCCAAAGTTATTTTTTGGCAACCCAGCTAAATCACTCCAATAATCCCTAATGATAGTATTTACACAGAAAAACATCATACTTTTAAATATTCATACGTTCAGAAAATGACAAATGGACCAATTTGGCTTATGACTATGTTATTTGTTTTTATTTGTCACGTCTGTTCCTTATTAATGGTTTATCGAATGACTGCTAGATAAACTTTCAAAGATATACTAAACAAGACAATTAGACCGACAGAGTATCTTATAATTATGCATTTCTAGCGGCTAGGTACAGTCGAGTGATACACCCCTTCAAAACGAATAAACCCTTCTAATTCGAAAATGTAAACACTTTGGTCAACGTAGCTAATTTTATCGAGTCCCTTTAAGAGTTGTTTTCAGTAAAAGGTTTTCGACATCTCTAAACTGACACAATGTTAATTTGATATCCCATAGAGATTCCATAGTGCAGTGATTATTGACTATGTGACACTCTGATAAAGTACCATGTCATGTTTCAATTAGTCTAAGAAGGGTGGTGCGCGCATGAGATAGAGATTTGTATTGTCAGTTGTTTATTAAGATAAAGAAACCCACGTTGCACTGTAAAGTGGAATATTTGATGATATAAAAATGTCAACTTTTTTGAAAAATGGGGGAATTTTGAATATTTCAGAAGATAAAAAAGCTGACAACTTTTTCACAGAATTTTTTTCAGAATCTCTTAAATTAGGACCGCAAGTTTTACTTTTATCGACGATAAGATTGCACCATATAATATTTCTCATTTTCAAGGATTATCTATGGATTAACACCCGGGTATTTTTTATTTTTCAAACTTCAGAGGGCTGGGAATCATCGATTACGAACGCTTTCGAATAATATAAATGCTGTTTTAATTTTAAAAGGTTTCATGCCAATAATTTCTCAAATTGTGTAAATGGTACCCTTTCCTTAATGTCTAGAATTTTCTTTTTGAGGAATTCCCCATAGTAATCCAATGCTATAGTTCCAAGCAACTGTTGAATCATTAATACACACCTTATATGGGTTGTTCTGGTTTATATCACATGTTAAAAGTATCGAGAAAAGTACCTAATATATTTTCTCCGCCATGAAATTAAAGTTGAAGTACATGTAGATCGATAGTCTTGCTCAAAGACTGTATCCACCCCCCCCCCCCCCCGTCACCTTCACTCTCTTAACCTGGCAATGTATATTTCATTTCCATAACTATTAGATATATAAGTGTTATATGAAAATTGAACCACTTAAACAGATGTAATTTAAGTTAAAGGGAACTTTCTACAATACCAGCTATGCTATCTGACCTGAACGAGTCACCTGGTGGTGAAACTGGTAACTATCTACTCGCATCTGCGTTATTGATGAATATGCTTTACAACACGGAAAATATTTATGTCAACTGGGAACAATTCATGAATACCAATTTCAAATTGGTTTTAGTGTGACAAGACCCTTTAAAGTACAAGTTTACGTATGCGTTTTCATAACAACTTTTATCGAAAGTTCTCCAAGACAACAGTAAAACGGATAATGAATATGTTGTGCTTATAGTAGTATTGTACGTGTGTACGTGATAACCAAATTACCAAATGACTTGTATTTCCGGCATCATTGCATGAGCACGGGTTAATCAACTTTATAACTAGCGGACTTCCATAACGTGTTATTATTCGAATTCCTCATTCATTCCCCTTTCAAATTATATATTAAAACCATGGACAAATAGTCTCATTCTTCTGAACCTCATTTGCTCAACTAATAACTAACTTAATTCAATTAAGTCTAAAAATCCTTGATATAGAACTACGATCTGTTTTAGTTTTAGCCTTATTTTTCTTAATCAAAGAAAAAAGGCGGAGTCAACGAAGTCATCTACATTACACCAAACAATACCTGTTACTATGGGGATGTTCCAGTATCCGGCCAATCTTGCTACGGGTTCTAGTGCAGAAGTACAAGCTGGGCCTATTAAGGCAGCAATTCCTTCATTATAATACAAATCTGCAGCTTTTCCTACAAAATATTAAAACAATTGTGTACTACTTATTGCAGTTATCCTTTTTGGATTATTTGGTATTATTATTTGAAGCATGACTAATTTCAGTGTTACTTTGGATAAGTATCCTCATATTTTCATTCAGAATCACCAAATAAAAAATAAAGAGTGTTTTTGGCCCAGCCTGTACATGTATGTTAAATATACTTAATCTTTTAAATATATAAGGACACCTTTATTTGTAAATTTTATATTTCAATAATAGGAGTATCAGTTCATTAATGAGTCCCTCAGTTTAAAATATTAGAGTACCACTTCATAGAATTGTGATGGAACCGCAGAATTATCTGTAGATGAACCCATCATTTTAAAAATGACGACAAATGATCTCATGGATAATAACTACATTAAATCGATCGAAAAGAACAGATTTTAAATCATTGATACTCTTCAACTATTTTCAGAAATACGATATCAGCAATAGATGCATGTATTATGATATTGACAGATACCATTGAAGCAAATATATTATACCACGCGTGTATACAAATAGTGACTGATCGTCGCTGATGAAAAATTCAGGTTGATCTCTGTAATTGATTTGAGTTTTAGAATGACATCGACAGTCCATTCAAGAGTTTTGTAACCAGGACAGATAAGATGTCAAAGCTAAAATAGAAATGGCACATTCCATTATTACAAGTTATTATAGTTGAATAGAATGAACATGAGTCACAAGACAAAGTAAACATAATATCCTCGATGCGAGTAAAAATAATCTTGATTTACGTCATTGAAATCCAGTCAAAGTTATGTCATATTTGGAATCTACATGTAAAATTACATCTAGAAATGTGGTTTTGAAAAGAGTTTATCAACTTTGAGAATTTAATTTTCTTTGAAAATGTGACTTCTAGGTCGTGGAGATTCCCCATAGACCCCATGTTGTAAAATCACAAAAATGGAAATATCTTTTCTTGTGTTGGGCAGATAATATTTTCTTTTACTGAACATATTTTAATTTGTACAAGTGTAACTATCAGATACATAAGGATAATATGAAAAGTGAACCAGTAAAACTGATGAATATTCAAGTTTAAGGGAATTTTGTAATACCCTGCCATGTTATTTCCCTCGAACCAGCCACCTGGTGGCGAAACTGGTAACTACCTACTCGCATCTAATTGGCACTGAACGAAAAGTTATTCCAATAATTGATTAAAACGTTGACAGTCATGTTTCCCATTACGTAAAATATGGTAGTATTCGAAATGATGAATTAATCAAAGAAAACGTAGTGCAAAATGTGTGCATAAAAAATGTGAAATGTCGGTCTGTTCTCAAGTGGGAAATAAAACTTTTCTTCAAAATTCAAAAGGATTGGCTTCCAGAGGGCAACATCGATATTCTGTTCCAGAAGAATTCCATATATGGGCATGTCGTGATATAAAATTCTTATTCAAATAGCCGCCATTTTGTTCAGTTTGACAGCATTCGAATCGTGAATTTTGCTCTTATTTCATTACGAAGAATATATACTTTTTATTGTTGGAAAATATCGAGTTTGGATCCTGGAAACCAATTCTCTTTGTTCCAACTTGTAAATATTTTAAACGTAAAACTTTGAAATCACTAAATACTTTAAAGTATAACATTGCTTACATTACTTTGTGGGCATCAGAAATAGAATTGCAGAGATTGAAAATAAATGACATATGAAAATCTTAAAGTTGCCATTATATCTAATTTTGTTTTGGACCACTATTCTTAAAATACAATTTTTGAAATACACACCGCAAATCACGCGAAACGTTGATGATATATCATTGAACTAGATTTTCAGATATAAGCAGTCTTATGAAAGTAATTAATTTTTAGTAAATATCTACCAGGTGCTTTTGCTGCAGTACACCCTCCACCATACGGCTGTTTATGGACGGTTAAATTAAAATCCGAATTCAGGATCTCCGAATTTACTTTCGCTATTGCTAAGTCTACTGCTGCGCCTGTTCTTTTGATGCTATACGGAGAGTCATCGTCGTCGATTATCAAAACGCCAACATTTATCTCTGTGATTCCATAAATCTCGAAAATAAGTCCAAAAACACACAATGTAGTTGTTTGGATGTTCCACATTGTTGTGTAAATGCGAATAAAACATCGAGTCTTTTAATATCAATATCACAATTACCAATTATTATTAATATAGAGAAAGATAAAGATTATAATAAGATAATAGATTCGCATTATATAATCTTGTTGTGGCCTTTTGTAACTGAGACATAACCTGCTTGGATCGAACTGATTGGTCATTATATAGCTATTGTAGTACCCCGATGCTTATCATAATTTTCCTTTATCTCTCTAATGATAACAGTGAGAATCCGTGGGAATGAATTATCCCAATAACGGTAAAAGTAATAGCATCCACTATGAGGATGACAATATAATTAAATCAAAATGAACCATTACTTTATGAGAATAGTTTACGTAAAGCAAGATGTTATCGACCTTCTGAATTTCAGTGCTGAGACTGAGACACTTTTGGATCTTTAATCAAAATAATATATGAGCATATACATGACATGTACATATTTTCATATATTTTAGGTGACAATTATAAATGCATAATTTTACTTTACTTTGACCCTAATAATTAATTCATCGTCTTCGAACAAGAATAACTTTTAATAACGTTTGAATTCATGGAAGATTTCCCAGATTTCAGTCTCGATATTCTGCCATATATGGGCTTATCTTGATTATAAAATTCGAATTCAAACAGACGCCATTTTGTTCACTTCGGAATTTGTATCGCGATTTTTACCCTTTGCACTCGTTCGACTTCACTTCTAAAAAGAGAGCTTCGTCTTCACTCTTTCAGTTTACAATAAATCTCTGGTCTCACTGAGCCAATCAGAGTTTGTTGTCGAAATGGGGACGACTTTCTGTATGGTCATTTCTTCTGACATTTCCGCATAGTTAATGAGCACGTATTTAACACTTGTTCCTTCAACTTCGCTGATTGGTTGAGAAAGGATCAGCGTGGTAGATTTGGAATAATTTATTACCCGGGGTGTCAGAGGCACCAATCTTTGGAGAAAGGGTCGATGGCAAATATTCAAAGCCGGCTTCTATAGTACATCAGAAGCCGGCTTCTGCAGTCACCAAGAAGTCAGTTTTTAAAAGCCGGCTTTTGACGTACTACAGAAGCCATCTTCAAGAAACCGGCTTTTAGAACTTTTAATCTTTTGAAATATATACCTAAAATCTAAACATATTTAAATTGTCTGCAATATTTCATTTTATTCCAAAACTATAACTGTGAATTGCATTAGAAATCATAAACATCGATAAAAAAGGACTCATATTCATCAACTGAGAACAGATTATATGCATTGTATGTATGACGTGCACTGACCTGGGGACAATTTGGGAAAATCATGGCTAATCTCAGCTTTGAGCGTTAATATCTGCCTTATTTAAAAAGCTAACTATGTACTTTATATATCATTTTGAAGTATTTTTTATTCGCATTTCACTGGAATTATTTTTCATTGAAAAGTTTGATGGGATCTACCATATTTTAAAGTGAAATGTACCCCGACATCGTTAAATACGCTGTAAGACGTAAAATTTCACGCTTACACGATTCGTTGAAATCTGGATAACTTTTGAAATACTAATCAGAATTTTACTAAAATTTCACATTTTATTCAATAGAACATGTGCATTTATGACGTCACAATTGCATAACGGCTACAGTTCAAATTGTCTTATATGAACGCTTTTTAAATTTTCAAAATTGTGTAAGGTTTTGAAGGCAAAAAAGACAAGCAATAAGTTTACCTTTATTTAACCTTCTAAATTAGGTCTGATTTAAAAAAAGATTAACTGCACAATATTGTCATGGCGTTTGCAAAACAATAACCGATTTCTTTATTTTTCAAATAATATCAAAATAAGAGCTGATTTTAGAGACTTGAAAAAATGTAACGCATCGATTTTTTACCACAAATTCCATACATTTTTGCATTCAATATTTACTAACGCCCCGAGTTGACTTCCTGGCCGTTTTTCAAAAATCAAAAACATTTTAGAAATATTGTCTTCGAGATCTTGTTGCTCTGTGAATTTTACCAGGATTGAATGATATTTTATTAAAACGCACCGTTCATTTTTCAAAACTCACTCCAAGATGGAGCCAGTTTACAAATCAGCTCGCTCCATTTAACACAAGCTATCTAGGGACAATGTAGCAACTGGGAATCATGGACTACTGTCTCCCGATCATTTTGATGTACATTATGCATATTCTCTTATTATTTGCATGAAAATTAGAAAAAAAACTGAAAAATATGTATTTCTTAACATATTTCAAGATTTTTTGCAAAAAGTCATTATAAGCCAAAATTATAAGTGTAAATTGAATTAAAAACAGGAATATCGATGAATTGGAGATGTTCATCAATTCAGAACAGATTATGCATCTGTTTAATAAAAACGCACCGTTCATTTTGCAAAACTGGCTCCAAGTTGGAGCCGGCCAACATTACAGCTCGCTCCATGTAACACAAGATATTTAAAGACAATCTAACAAGTAGGAATCAAGGGATATTGTTTCCCAATCATTTTATGTGCATTGTGCATCTTATTCTCTTATTTGCATGAAAATTAGAAAAAAACTGAAAAATATCTAAAAGCTTAACATGTTTCAAGATTTTTTGCAAAAAGTCATTTTAAGCCAAAATTATGAGTGTAAAGGAGTGGTATCGATATGGAGAACTGAATTCAACGATATTTTTCTCTTAAACCAATCATTGAAAACATTCTGTAAAAAACACGTGAGTGGTATTTTATGTAATGTTGACTGATTGACACCACTGGAATTTAATGCGAAAATTATTTAGAAATATTTTATATAACTGTTTTTGTTAACATTTTTTGTTTTTTTAGTGCAATTGATTTTGCTCCTTTCTACCAATTCTTGAGAATGAAATAGAATGTCTTTCCGAACCTTTAATTGTTGGAACAAAATAGCATATACAACATGTTTTAGACCTCTCAATAGTATAGTTATACAATTGAATTTTTGGTTGATTTTAAAAAAAGTATTCAAAAAATTAAAACAAAATCCCCCAAAATAGATAAAAATCAAGATAAACCTTTGACTTTTTTTAAATCAACCAAAATTTCCTTTGTACAATTGCAATATTGAGATACCTAAACATGTTGTGTTTATGTCGTTTTGTTCCAATGAGGTTCGGAAAGATGTTTCATTTCACTCTGGAAACATGATACCAAAAACAGAACAAGTGTTTGATGTGTTTTCTAAAACAATATAGATGAAAGTACACTCCCCTCCATAAGTTTGGCAACCTTTTTTCCCCATTGAACTACGTGTTAAAGCCTCTTTACGTTTGAATTTTTATTACTTAACCGGCGATGAAATAACTTATAATATTAATGGAAACGTAACTTGACTTTATTTCCAATACCTCCACATTTTCTCAATTTTTTTCCTGAATTACAATAGGTCGAAAATTGATGATAAATTTGATGAATTTTTGAAAATCGTCATTCCCATGTAATCCAATGGGAAATGGAGGGTTCGGGGCAAATCAGAAATCAGGATAAATTTTCAGTAAAAGATTCAGCAAAAAATATTTTTATATAGGAAATTGAATTGTCTAACTTTTTTGAACACTAAGTGTTTAGTTTATTTGATGAATATTAAAGTTACAGCGCTTCAAAGTCATTTTTGAAAATAATTTTTCGCCTCCTGTGTTATTTCAATGGGAGAGGTTTTTTGAAAAACAATTTTGACTTTAAACCCCTATAACTTTGTTGAACCTGAAGAAACATATCAATTTTTGTAAAATAAAGTTAGCAAATTCAATTCCCTGCCTAACTCGTATTTTTTGCAAGGACTCGGATGGATGGATATTCTGTCATATGACTTGCGGCAAACCTACCATTTCCCATTGGTTAACATGGGAATGTCGATTTTCAAAAATTCATCAAATTTATCATCAATTTTCGACCTATTGTAATTGAGGAAAAAAATTGAGAAAATTTGAAGGTATTGGAATTAAGGTCAAATTACGTTCTCAGCAATAGTTTAAGTATTTTCATCGCAGATTAAGTAAATAAAAATTCAAAGGTAAAGAGGCTTTAACACGTAGTTCAATGGGGGAAAAAAGGTTGCCAAACTTATGGAGGGGAGTGTATATAATATGTTTTTCAAATTATATTGTTACCATTCAAAAAATGACCATTAAATTGACGATGTGTTCAATTTCTAGATTTTTTTAAAGCTGGTTTAAGAGAAACGTGTGTTTAAAAAGTTCTCCATATCGATACCACTCCTTTCATTCTTAGCATGAATATCGATGAATTGGATTAAGTTCATCAATTCAGAACAGATTATGCACCGTTCATTTTTCATTCAAGATGGAGCCAGTTTACAAATCAGCTCGCTGGCTCCACATAACACAAGCTATTTAGGGATAATCTAGCAACTTTGAATCATGGGATACGTGACGTTCATATGGGAACTATTAAGAGTTCCTATATCATTCTAGCTAGATCATGGTAGAAATGCGAAACTAATGATTTTTTAATCATCTTACTAATGACCGTGTGCTCAGGTTCGACTTAAAATGGCTCATCAGAATAGAATAAAACACTACTCATTAGTTGATTAAGGACCCTGATGGGAACTTGAATCTGTCCAGATCAAACAATTATATAATATAAGACAACACTGTGGCTCAATGAGGATCATTCTTCTTCAAAGGACTCCATTTATGCTTTAATTCAGAAAGATGTGAAATATCCTTAGACTAAGGTTGACTTAAAACCCAAATCCATACATTTTCCTAAACCGAAAGAGAGTTAACACACATTGGCAGCCACAACCCACCACCACTAGCCATAAGTTAGATGCATACATATGCTATCAATATGTATAGTTATTATTGAATTCTCATTTTTGTCATTAAAACAGCTTCATACACGTGTTAAAGTTGTATAATTTATGCATCATAGTTTGACAATAAAGTATGTAACTAACTAAAAAAAATCTAAAGTAAAGTAAAGTGTGCACGTGTAAGGTGAAAAATCTAGTAATTTTG